GAAAGTAAAATACATGAAATTCTCAGAGCTACTCAGGTCAATAGCATAGTGAGACACACCTAAAGAAGGCAATGAAGAAAATCAGAACACCACAAAGTCCTTTGGAGAAAAACATAATATGTATGTTTGCATTGAGAAGAGTTACCAAATTGGGATGATATAGCATTCTTTTAAAAAGGTGCCACGTAGGCCACAACTTTACTGTATTTTCCATTAACAGAATACAAATATGAAATCATGGTCTTAAATTACAAGAATGTAGATTCTGACAATGCTAAGATAAAATCCTGTCATTAAGAATAATTGGGGTAGTAGACTTATTGTGTAGAGAAGTGGCAATTCCCATCACTGGGAATCTTCAAACAAGGTGGGATAGATGGTGGAAATTTCATACATTCAGGAAGTGCACTTTAATGGTTTTTCAATTATGTGATGATTTCTTATTTACATCCTAATCAATGGTAGGTTTTCTAATTTTCCAGAACTACTGTTAAAAATAGCCCTAGACCTTAAGCCTTAGCTTGGATCATCATTCACTTTTTGTTCCCAAGTAGATCACATTAATGGAACTTCATTAATTATGTTTACCCTAATGTCTGGAAGTCTGGAATTGCCCTTTTGCATTTATTTGGGGGCAACAATTCTGTTTTTGTATTAAACCTGTAATAAAGAAGAAAATTGCAGTTCAAAGCATCAGTTAAGAAATGTACAATACACAATAAGCAAAATAGTTTATATAAAGTAAAGCAGTGACACCTGATGGGCTTTCCCTATTACTACAGGTTTTACCCAAGGCCTTTTAAAGTCTTATTAGATATGGATCATCACCTGATCATCACCTGAAGGCCTACTAGGCATCAAAAATATATAAATTCCTCCATGGAATATATTAGAAGAAACAGTGCTGGTAAGATATAAACAGGTATACAGATTTGTTTTCTTATACTTTTATTCAAGAATGGAAAGCCAACAACACATTTTAAATACAGGGAAAAATCACCTAAACGTTTATCAAGTTTAAATGTATTGTCCATAAGTCTGTTTTCATTGTTATCACCTATAATACAAGTTTACAGTGGTACAAAAATGGCAAACTTCATCTAATCATCATGGTAAAAAGCCTTAAAGTATCTGTATGAAGAATGACACTTGTATAGGCACATTGTGGTAGAAGAAATACATTTCAATTGTGCATTTTTTATTATTTGGACCTAAATGATTTAAATGAGGTGTACTGAGTTCAATAAAAACTATTTTGTATACTTAAACTGTAGCTTTTTTATGTCTCAGAAATCTGAAGAAAAAATTTCAGAAAAGTCAGAATTCAGACTAATTGCTTAGTATATACAACTGAAGTCCATGCATTGATAAAACTCTTGCTACAGTATCTTAAAGTACTGTAACAAATCCTGCAGGATAGCAGCTTGATTAGGGTTTTAGTCCTAAACACTGATAATGAATTGAATTGCATTGAATTCAATGGAATTCACAACTGAGAAAGCATGCGTAAGATTTGTTGCAAGTCAATACATCCACATATACAGGTTTAACCAACTATAATTTTATCAATTTCTCTCAAAATTGGATCTTCAGGAGGACAGTAATTGAGATTTGGCATTCCAGTAAGAGATGCAGTTCCACTGTTATTCATAAATACAAAAGTTTATTGGCACATCATTAGTATAGAACGACAATGCTTTTCAATACCACAACATTAAAGACTTATCAAGTTATTCAAATACAAAACTACTGGTTTACAACAACTAAGGTATACAGTGCAGATTTAATAAAGATATACCAAAAGATACAGTTCACAAATTCATTATAACCAAAATAAAAACAAAAAAACCCCAATTCCTCTTTAGCTTAGAATTTTTGATTATATATATATACTGTGTATGTGTGTGTATGTATGTATATACGTGTGTGTATGTATGTGTGTATACACACACACACCTACATACATACATACATACATACATACACACACACATATATCTCACCTCCAATTTATTTCAGACAAATA